ATAAATATATATATATATATATATATATATATATATATATAGTATATATGTATAGTATACATCCGATAACGATCGCGAGAACGAACGTTAGACGATAGTACGTATATGTACGTATAACAGATTTCGCACCAAGCTACGAGAATGCTAAAGAGACGACGATATCGATCTCTCGTTTCGCTCGAGAAAGGTTTTTCATCGGCTTATTTCCATACCTTTGCAAGCCCGATGACAAGTATACTTGATCACTCGTAAATACTTTTTCTTTATATTCTTTTATTTCAATTGAACTTATGAAAGTTACGTCTTACTTTCATACTTATTTCATATACATTTTTTTTTTCTATTTTCGTAGATTACACGTATACTAATTTTCATTTTTTTTTTATACGCGTATATATTTGTTCGTAATTTCCCATTACATGATATACACGAATACGTGCATATGATAAATCATAAATCAAATTAAATAATGATTTGATATATTCAATCGTATTAATTCTAATCGTTTTGTCAAAGTGTTACGAATCAATGAGGAAAATTTTTGTTTTCTTTTCTTTTCTTACAAGGATTATAATAACAAGACTCGTATACAAAGAACGATGGAAGAAAATTGATCATCGTGTGGAACGTTAGAGGCGAGAGATATCACCTTTGCCATTTTATTACTATGCAAGCTCTATTGTTACAGTCTAGCGTGCGATATGTCAAGAGATTACGTTCTCGAACGTCGTCGTCGAATATTCTCTAAAGCATTCCAAGCAAACTAAAGTGTCATGATTTTCTGAAACAAACAAAATATCAACTTTGTGAAAGAATACCATTCTTGGTAATGTTACGGTAACATTTTAGACGATTAATTATTACCTAATTTAATGTTTACTTAGACAAATATGCATATATGATTAGAAAATAGTTTTCTTTCTGAATAACATTCCAAACGATTGAAGTTTCAAATCAAGACTAAAATCGCAAGTGATAGAAGATCGAAGATCTTATTTCGAAATCTTATAATTAATCTAAGAAAACGTTCATAAAATACAAATAAAATAAAAAAGTAACTTAGCTGCAAATAGAAAAATAAAGAACGAATTAGAACGTTTATAGAAACCCCAGAAGGATTTCGATTTCTGGGTTCATCGCAACGAAACTTTGATGATACTAGGAAACGAACCAGTTATTACGAAACATTTCAGTTCGAATCAAGTAAAGTCGGCAATTCTAAAAAGTCTTCTTCTAAATCGCGTTAGTTGGAATTCGTCTGGATGAATTAGTGTGCGTG